AAGATGAGAGGCCTGCAGGAAATCAGAGCATTAATGGAAGAAAGTAAAATTCGATAGGCATATTGCTCATTTGACTGGCGGTTGTTGAAATTCGCATATTAGTGAGTGCTGCTTACAAGAAAAAGTAATGCGCATGTGCTTTTCTCATGGAGTGATATTTATTAGAAAGAAGGCGAGTGTTTTCGGAAATGTGATTCAGTTGTGTGTGTATGTGTATGTATGTATGTGTGTGTGTGTGTGTGTGTGTGTGTGCGTGTGTGTATGTGTGTGAAGAGGGCCATAAAGAATAAATGCGAGTGCACTGGGATAATAAGATCCGGGGGTACAGCCACTCCCCAAAGATTAGGGGTTTTTTTAAATTTTTTGAATGTGGAAAAGTACTCATTTCATATTCGACTGTTTGATTGTGTCAAGATTTTATAGAGCCAGATGCCGCGAAAGAAACGGACGACGACCGGGGATCGGCAACTTCCGAGGGCAGCGATAACGATGAAGAAAATGCCCCGCCGGCTGCCAAGAAAAGCAGAAAAGAGAAAAAATTGTACATTTTTCGCATCAAAAAAAAATGCTCTTTTCACTTCTGACTCTAATACAGGGAGGGGAAACATCAACTCGATGTACACCATTACTTATCTCTGAGGAATATTTTGAGGACTGCTTTTGCGCGAACTTCGTATTTCAGCCGAATGTGTAAAATCTTAGATTATGCTATGCCAGATTAGTACCAATCCAACTGTGGTAATGGTAAGAAATGTATACGATTTAATGGACCGAAGCATTTCTTATTATTAATTACGATAATTTTACTAAAATAATTTTACTACTTCTGCTAATTTCTTAATTATTGTTTCGGAATCTCCTCTTTAATTTTCTATTACAGAAGTACGCTACTCATTTTAAAACTGCTACAGAGTGCTTGTTACATAGATTTATGTGGTGGTATTTGCCAGATAGCCGTAATTTTTTTGTTATCAGTTACGAATTTCAGAGAAAAGCAACGCTTGGAGCAGCTGGCTGCAAAGAAAGAAAAAGACAGGCCAAGACAAATGCTTGAAAAGCAAGTGGACCCGGCAATACAAGCTGAATTACAGGCACAGAAAGAAAGAGAAGAGGTTTAATCTTTATCAGTGGTTTTGGGTATTTGTGGAAATAGTAAAAAAAACTGCTTGAAAAAACTATGCATCTTTTTATATTTTGGCAGTATTGCAGGTAATTTTTCCTTTTTTATCAGTACAGCTTTTACTATACTCAGCCCTTCTTTCATTGGCAGATCCAGGAAGGTGGGGAGGGGGGGGAGGGACGAAGCAAGGGGAGGGGAGGGGGAAGGAGAAGCGAGGAGGAAAAGGCGATGGGTCTTTCCCCCCCAGTAGCACAGGTAGTAATGCTAGAAGTCAAAAAAACTCTCTTCGACATCCCTTGTCGCCCGTCCTCCCCCGGCCTCTCCCCC